TGCCTTTCTTAGGGACTGGAATGAAAACTGACCTTTTCCAGTCCTGTGGCCACTGCTGAGTTTTCCAAATTTGCTGGCATATTGAGTGCAGCACTTTCACAGCATCATCTTTCGGGATTTGAAATAGCTCAACTGGAATTCCATCACATTCACTAGCTTTGTTCGTAGTGATGCTTTCTAAGGCCCACTTGACTTCACATTCCAAGAGGCTAATTCTGCAGGAAATAACCCTAAATATTTCAAGAGATTAACTGTTTGATATGGGGTGCACAAGCAGTCAATATGATGATTTTAGGACCCAGTCTTATTTCATCTGTGGCTCAGCCATTTCTTAGAACCTTGGCATCTTCTGCAAAATCCTTTGCATGTAATTGGCACATGAGATATGAGAAGGCATGGAGGACTTCATAAGATATTACAGATCAGGACTGTAAGTATTATACATTACTTCTTTCCACAATCCAGCTGTCCAAACTTGGCAACCTAGCTATTTCTAATCATCATGTGGTCTAGATACAGGTTCAGGAAGAAAGGAAACAAGGACTTTGGTGAACAACTACTCAGTTTCTGACACAAATACTATGAGAATGTTAAAAGATTAGGGCAGATCTAAGTTACTAGTAAATGAGCCTTCCATGACACACTACTGAGTGAAAAGGTTGGCAACAGACGTGTCATAGGGTGGGTTCCCTAAAGAGAAGGCTATGAGTTTACTGCTTACTGTTCAGGATATTTATTAACAAACACTTTTGCCATTAACATCTGAGAAAGCATGCTTGGGCAAGGGGAGAAGATGAGCTACAATACAGATGCAGCAGCAGCCTCAGTCACCCCATGCAGAGCTCTCAACCTTGAAAGGTCATTTGGAGTTGGCCCAAGTTAGGTCAACGTGGCAGGACATTTTATAGTCTTGCAATGAACTTGCACATTGGAACTGGATCATTTATTGGATGTTGGCTGACTTAGGAGAGGCTGAGGGTGAGACGCCTCTGTGCCATTGTGGTAATCTATGAAGGGCCTGACAGTTAAAACTGTCTGCTGACAACATTTCCTACTGAAGCAATGAGTCCTTCATTAAAGAGGGATTTGGGCAATGTATTACAGTGTCTACCACATAGCTGAACAGTATAGTCTATTATTACTATAAAACAAAACAAGGCTTGCTTATGTTCTTTGGCTAAATTTCTACATAAATACAAAGAAAAAATCTGGGTCGATAAAAAACTGGACACTTTATGTAATAATAAATAGATATCAAGATTGTAATGTTCCTTTTCAGAAGAGGCAGGTCTGAGATTGAGGCTAAAGGTTAAAAAAAATTCAGTCAAATCATAATATTTAGTATTTTAAAACAAGGAAAATGAATTCATATTTTACTCCTGTAATAGAAATTGAATAAAACTGTATTTGAGATGTGCTAGAACAAATATATCTGATAAAGGTATCAATCAAAACAACAGTCTACAAAGAGCAGGATCTTCCAGTTGGTAAGCACCACATTAAAAGAGTTCTATTTTACACAAGGACTGACTGACTTTCCTTCTCTCTTCTTCCTCCCACAGCTTTTTGGCCATTCCATTGTTTACTAATATCTCCATGGAAGGGTGACTGGGGCTGGGGGCACTGGGTGTGGAAAAGAGAGGAAGGAAACTAGAAGCAGCAATTTCCATTACTTGCTAGCAATGCTGGTAAAGACATTTAGTGGGGGAAATGCTGAAAATCAGGTATTTGGATTATCTGAGCCTGTCAACTGTCCATGTTCCACCCTCTTCCCAATAGCACAGACTCATGAGACTTGGTCATTATTGCATTTGCAGAGATGGCGCCTGAAATAAGATTGCTGTCAATGATTATGTGGTTCCAACATAACCTTTTTCTTCCTCTTTGAAATGGCACATCCTCACAAGGCATTCTAAAGAAGGAAATATTTCCTATTGTATTCTCACCTGTCACACATCTATACATCTTTCAGGATGATAGTTAATCCAGACAGACCAGGACAGTTTCCTTGAGTTTGAAGGGGCATTTTATCTTTTGTCTTGGTCTGGTAATAGAAGAGTTTATGTGGGAGGTCCAGTAGTAAACAAGGCATCATGTCAACAATAAAAAGAAACAATAGATATTTGGATAAGTATTTGTTGGATTTAACAGAATTAAATATTATTTATAATGCCAATGTTAGAACTCAGTCTTTAAAATCTCTGCTGCGACTGTTCATACAGTGAGTTTTAACCAAACAACAGAAGCCAATGCAAAAGTGGACAGTTTTCTCTTAGAATTACAGAATTCTGTGTTGGAAAACCTTGTAATAAAATTAAAAAGCTAGCGTTCTGATTTAGAGCACTCCATCTTAACTTAGTGATTTTGAGGCAAATTCAGCAAACCCTGACTCTGTTTGTTCAGTGACAAAATGAATATACAAGAACAAACTTTACGTTTAATGCTTTACAAATATTTTTGTATCATGATTTCTATGCTGACACTAATATTAACAAGCTATAGAAGGGTTTCATTGGTACTGAATCTCAACTTAATCATATATTGGCTGTTTGATGTTAGGGAAGCTAAGTGGCCTCTCCAAGATCCTATGTGTTCATTTGTAAAATGAGGCTACACATAACTCATTTATCACTGAATTGTTGGGAAGGTCAAAAGGGCAAAAACATGAAAAGCACATAGCACAATGCCTGGGACATAGCAGTCCATAATAAAAAGGAGTTATCTCTAAGTTCCAGTTATCCCTTGAACAAGACCCACTCTGTTTTTCTCCTCTTCTCAGAAAAAGTACACGTTGTAAACTAAGCATTCTTCAAAGACAACTTGAAGACGTCTGGTAATTTCAAAGCCTGAAAATTCCATGAGTTCACAGACGCTTTCACTAATTCCACTGATCTAAAGACAAAAAGGAGAGATGAAACCGTGTACCCAAACTCATTTCTGATGATTTCTTCCATCCTACCCTTGTTGCCTCTCTGGGGGTGATTGTGCCTGTGAAAATCATTGACACTGTCAGGAACAGAATCAGCTTTCGAGATTGGAATGTCACAGTAGAGTCTTCTTTACCTCAGACCAGAAGAGGCGTGCTTGGGTAAGAATTTTCAGGTCTGAAAGGAGACAGAGCTGGGATACAGGAATTGATACAGATAAACAGAAGGAACACCTTGGGAGGGTGATATGTCAAGAGAGACTAAAACAGACCAGGAAGAAGATCTGAAGCAAGATGAGATAAGAGCAAAAGACCCTGTCTACAAGTTCTACTGTGTGTTGCAACCAAAGACTGACCATGTCCTACAAAATCCCAAATTATGTAATTATACTGGGTAGTGGGCACCTTCTCATAAAAAATGAGATTTTTTTTTTCCCTTTTATGGCTAAAGAGAAAAGCATGAGAAGTCAGCCCATTAGGAACTACAGAGTGCCATCATGTGAGCTGGTATATTTAAGGTGAGTTAGATTGAAAGGATTAGGCAATTGGTTTGATTTTACACAGAGTAAAAGCTTATTTCTAACAGTGTTGAGAGAGAAACTTGGGACAGGTGTTAGAATGTTTGGCTGCTCTCTTTTGTTGTGAATAGGCCATTAAAACAGTTAGACAAAGAACCAAAGAAAGGGGTTCTATTCCACACTAGAATGTAGGCTCCATGAAAGATTGTTTTGTTCACTGTCATATTTCCAACTCCTAGAACATGCTCAGCCCTTTATAAGTATCTGTTGAGTTAATTAACCAGCTGAGAGGCCTTAGGAAGGAATTAGCCCATCTGTGTAATGAAAGGAATGGATTAGATCATTCTAGTTTTAAAATTTTATGATTCTATCAGAAACCACAAGTGAAACATTGTCATTCCATATTTTATCTCCACCACTTTTTCATTCAATGCTGATGTGACCTACTTTAGTATGACTATATGTAGAAAGTGCTAGGTGGTATATAAGATGCTTTAAGTAAAAAAAAAAAAATGCTTTAAGTAGTCCAAAGATACAGTATTTATTTTTAAAGAGCTACCTGCTTTTTAAAATATGTAATAGAAAAATATAATTAGTTTTTAAGCTGAGCATTGAAGAATTGATGCTTTTGAACTGTGGTGCTGGAGAAGACTCTTGAGAGTCCCTTGGACTGCAAGCAGATCCAACCAGTCCATCCTAATCTTCTGGACCCAGAGATCAAACATCTCATCTCTTGGTCTCCTGCATTGGCAGGTGGGTTCTTTACCGCTAGGCGCCACCTGGGAAGCCCTTATTTGTATATGAGTAGTTGTTAATACATACAATATGAACGATTCTCAAAACCTTTTTGCTTAGTGAAAGCAGTAAAACACAAAACAGTACATATCACATTATTCCATTTGTATGTAGATTTAAAACAAGTAAATTTAGTCTATATCGATAAACAAAAATAAAACAGTGCCTGGGGTTGGATTGGGAAGTTGCTTGTGTTGGAGCAGAAAAGAGTATTTTAGTGTATTGGAAATTTTCTGTTTATTGCTTTGGATGATGGTTACATATATTTATGCATACATCAAAATTCATTGAACTGTACATTTTAAATGACTATATTCATTTTGTTGTATGTAAATTATACTTCAGTAAATCTAATAGCATATTTATATGCATACACATAAAGGGCAAAGTTATTGTAAGTTTCTGCCTATACATCTTCTTATCTTATATCTTCTTGATATTTTTTTTCTGTATCAGATTTATGCTAGTCTGTGTCTCTTCTTTCCTACTCAGTAGGTTTTGGCTCTTCCTGCAATATGTTGAATGATCAACCTAATAAGTGATAGCTGTTGTCATATCTACAGAAAATACCTTCAGTTGTACAAAAAGAAAACCTCAAACTGTTTCCAATTAGGTTGCATACCCATGAAAGGTTTGTGGCATACCAAATGAGACCCCAAAATCTACAATCTTCTAGTTCATGTTAATGACCTAATGATTAAGCTAATTGTTCCTTATGCAGATCCTAAACAATCCTGCTTTGTTTCTAGTCTTATCAACAGAAACTAAGGATGTTACACGGACTGAAGAAGGAAGGCAGGAAGAAGCTAGAAGCAAGAATTAACATGTCTTTGCATGATCTGAAAGCCTCTTTGGACCAAAGATAATACATGCTGAGGGTATGGTTGCCAAAAACATCAAATTTTTGGTTTCAGCTCATGATCCAAAGGCTGAAAGTATGTCAACTTTCATGATATCCAGAGATAATTCAGTTCAATCATCTTTGTCTACTGATAAGCGAAATGAAAGTCAACAACACTAAACAGCCAGAAAACAAAAGTACAGTGTCAGCAAGGAACAATAAGAGAATTTTAACATCAATAGGTATAACTTACAGCATTACAGTTGATGAAGTTAGTAACCTTTAGCAAGGAGACACAGAATCAATAGCTGCCTAAGAGTTTGCAGCTGTGAATGGGAATTGACCAGGAATTCAGGTGTAAGAGGGGCTGGCAGAATATTTAAACCACATGAAAAATAATAAGATTTATAAATAAGTGACCAAATATATGGTATTAGAATAACAATTTCTTTCATTTCCTAGAAAAATGGGGCCAATCTTCATCCAAAATATAGCAGATTTAGAGGACTGTGCGTGGATGGATTCATGGAAAGGACTTTTGGGTATTTAAACTGCGGCTATGAAAGTGCAGAATGGGAAAATATACTTTTAAAATTCAATGCATGCATTTCTATTTATCAGCATATCATGTATTTCTCTGCTTAATTTTATGGTATTATTGTTGAGATGCTTATCATACAGCCTACTCAATTGGACCATGCTATATTGATGTACAGAGTTCATCAACAGACTAGATAAGTGATGAGGCCTCAGGGAAGAAGCACATTAAAGCTCAGCTCCAACACAATGAGTTGTCAGCCCCTTTGGGAAAGCAGAACTGTTAAACAAAACCAGGAGGCCACATTGCTCAGTGAATTCAGTGGGATCTAATGGGGATTTCAGAGTAAATTTAGTTTTAAGATGTGTAGGAAGCTTAATAATTCAAAGTACTTTTCTATCCCAAAGCAAGTCTTTCCACCAAATCTTTTCATTTAACACTAATCGGTTTGCTTAATGGATTAGGAAGGGAAAGGACACACTCTGAGTTAACTTTCTTTAAATTTTGCATTTACAACTCTGTTAACAGCTTCCTACAAATGTATTATTTCTGCTGTCACAACTTAAGGGTATAACCTTGACTTTTTGACAACTCTTTGCTATTTATTCCCTTACCTATTCTTACAAGTATATCAGCTTCATGCCGTAGAGTAAATAATATCTCAGAGATTTTAAAAACTAGTGATCATTTCATTTTAGACACCACGTCCAAAGACAGTGGGACCTGCCTCTCTGAACAACTAACATTCCATTGAAGGCTTTCTCACTTCTCACTGTCTTATTCAGAAATTATCAATAAAACATTGCATTCAAACTAAATAAAATTCAGAATGACTTTTATGAAAGAAGACAGTTTTAACACTGAACATTTTGATTCGGGAAAATTTGATTAATCTGTTATGCACACTAACTCCTTCTGTAAGACCTATTCTATTGTTGGCTACCTACTTTTGTCCCAGTAATAATACCAATCACAACTACAACATTTCTCTCTGTTTGCTGCTACTGCTGCTAACTCACTTCAGTCGTGTCCGACTGTGTGCGACCCCATAGACGGCAGCCCACCAGGCTCCTCCATCCATGGGATTCTCCAGGCAAGAACACTGGAGTAGGTTGCCATTTCCTTCTCCAACGCATGGAAGTGAAAAGTTAAAGTGAAGTCGCTCAGTCATGTCCGACTCTTCGTGACCCCATGGACTGTAGCCTATCAGGCTCCTCCATCTCTGTTTGAGTCACTATTCTAAATCCTTTATGTGTAACTCACTATATTCTCTGAATAATCTGAAGCATTAGCTATCATCATCTCCAAAGAAACACAGTGAATCATTAACTTGCCCAAGATCACAGGGCTTAGGAAGGGACAAAGCAGGCACTTGCACTTTGCACAAAATGATATCCTTAAAGGCACAAGGAACACAACAGGAGTGTATCTATGAAACTCCATCTGTAGAAGTCCTTCACCGAAAAATACTAGCCTGACGCATCCAGAGAACACTCTAATTTAAAAAGATACACGCACTTCAGTGTACATTGCAGCATTATTCCCAATAGCCAAGACATGGAAATAACCTAAATGTCCACTGCCAGATGAATGGATAAAGAAGATACAGTGAGTGTGTGTGTCTGTGTGTACACACACAGAGACACTAAATGGAATACTGTGCTGCGCTCAGCCACTACAGTCATGTCCAACCCTTTGTGGCCCCGTGAACAATAGCCCACCAGCCTCCTCTGTCCACGGGATTTTCCAGGCAAGAATACTGGAGTGGGTTACCATGCTCTCCTCCAGGGGAATCTTCCTGACCCAGGGATTGAACTCATGTCTCCCACATCTCCTGCATTGCAAACAGATCTTTACCACTGAGCCACCAGGGAAACCCTAATGGAATATTACTCAGCCATAAAAAATGAAATAATTTGCAGCAACATGAACGGACCTAGAGATGATCATACTAAGTGAAGTAAGTCAGAAAAAGAAAGAAATACCATATGATATCACTGATAAAAGGAATCGAATCTAATATGACACAGATGAACTTATCTATGAAAAGGAAACAGACTTACAGACATAGAGAGCAGACTTTCGGTCGCCAAGGGGAAGGGGGGTGGGAGGAATGGACTGTGAGTTTGGGATTAGTAGACACAAACTATTTTATATATAGGATGGATGAACAACAAGGTCCTACTGTATAACACAGGGAGCTTTATTCACTATCCTGAGATAAACTATAATGAAAAATAATGTGTATGTATATTTATATATCTATATCTGAATCATTTTGCTGTACAGTGGAAAGTTATATAACATTGTAAATCAGCTATATTTCAATAAAATTAAAACAAAATACCAACCCTGTTGAAACAGAAAAATCGAAACAAATTCTGGCCAGAGAGTGACAACATCTTTCTATGTCCAGCTAAAAGACAACTAAAAAGATGTCTCAAATTTCCAGTATGCATGAATTTGGGTTAAAGAAGGAACAAATCCCAAAAGCAAGACAGGGTACCTTTGAAACTTAAGATGGAAATTTCAGAATCACTTTCTGGTTATTACTGAAAAGTGAACACCATCAGAAAGCAACACAAAGAAAAGTCACCAACAGTTTATTTGTGGCTTACTAAATGGCAACCAGGTCAAAAATGATGACTTTTCTGGTCTATCATTATGCAGTGGGGCAGAGCGAATATTTGCTAAGCAGGTAATGAAACTGACACTTTACATATGGCACAGCATATAAGGTTAAGAATTATGTCCTTTTTACAAATTTGGAATCTAAGGCTCAAAGTCCTTTCAAGGTCACACAGTTACTAGGCAGTGCTGGGATTCATCTCCTGGCCTATCTGATTACAAAAGCTCTCACTCTTGCCACTATCCTAGGCTTTGACTCTCATCACGGAAGCCCTAAATACAAAAAAAGAACATGTATCATTGTCCAAGATGAGTTTCGATTGTCAGTTTATCTCTTCAGATAGATATTTTGGCTTTGGAAAAGAAAATTACTGGTTAGTCCATCACCCTATTTCAACTTCTTGTCTTTCAGCAATCACATGAGAGTATTACCTTAAAATCTTAACGTTTGCAAACAAACCACATCTGGTGATATCAAATGAGCTATATTTCCCAGAAAAAAAAACAAAGTATGGGAAGGTTGGGAAAGTAACTCAACCTTGTTCTTGAGGCTGAAGATGCTGATAGGCATGTGTGAAAACCCTCAGAGGAAAATATTCACCATTTTTCACCAGTTCGGCTCAGTTTCCGTTGCCTCATCATTTTATTATCACCAAATATTGCATATTTACACAGGTGCTTCTCTGATTTAATTGTTTGGAAGCAGTCACTGGAAGCAAAACTATGTGACTCAGCTTTGGTGATGCAGTCCAGCTGGGGTCTGACAGGTAAATAATTACCACTAACCAAAGCCTAAATGAATTCAGGTTCTTCAAAGTCAGATGGGGGAGGGGCAAGGGTTATAAATGAACTGTGAGAAATATCAGGAGAAGTAAGAGCTGGGCAGTCTAGTCTTGGATGAAAGCACCAAACAGAAGAGTGAACAGTAAGGTCTCGGTTGCCACATGTATTTTAGCCCAAAGACCTCTGGCTGAGTCTTTTATCCCTTCTTCAGCCATCGTTGGGATGGGATCTTAGGAGCCTCCCTGAAAAATTGAGTCCAATGAGGAGCTAGATTCTTTTCAGCTCTTAAAGTGTATAATCTCTTGATTTCATTACATAGAATTTGAATTTCTTGACATAAAGAGGAAAAAAATTCTTTCTCTGGGCTATCAGTAAATATAGCTTAAGACAAAAATCAAGAATGAATCCATGTTTGTTTAAGAGCAAACCGTCATCTCTAAGCATTTAGTAACTGAACAGATTACAGGTGGGAGGATATCCTTCATCTAGGGTCCAGTGATTTCAGCAGAGATTTCCTCAGTTTTCATGAAAGATACCTTCCTTGAAGCCTCAGCCCTTACATGATGTATTCACAAGCTTTGAGGATATTTGTTTAAAAGTCAGCCTGTACTGGTGGTAGAAATCCTTTCAGTCTTCTTTGTAGCTTCTTGATAATGAAAAAACAGGTCTGATCATTGTGAATAAGACATTCAGGAAATGTGTGGTACAGGACTGCAGCTTCCAAGCAGTTGACAGAGAAATCTAATTCCATCAGTGTTGAGAGCCATGCCCAAAGATGCCATCTGTGTTTTGGGATGGGCTTTCCGGGTAGTTCAGCTGGTAAAAAATCTGCCTGCAATGCAGGAAACCCTGGTTTGATTCCTGGGATGGGAAGTTCCCCTGGAGAAGGGATTGGCTACACACTCCAGTATTCTTGGATTTCCCTGGTGGCTCAGACGGTAAAGAATCCGCCTGCATTGCGGGAGACCGGGGTTTGGTCCCTGGGTTGGAAGATCCCCTGGAGGTGGGCATGACAACCCATTCCAGTTTTCTTGCCTGGAGAGTCCCCCAGGACAGAGGAGCCTGGCAGGCTACAGACTGTGGCGTCA